GCACCACCACTACTGCTATTATTACTATTATTATTATTACTACTACTACTACTACTACTATTACTACTACTACGACTACTACTACTACTACTACTACTGCTACTACTACTACTACTACTACTATTTCTGCTTCTACTACTACTCCTACCTACGACGACGACGACGACTACTCCTACTATTACTACTATGGCTACTACTACCACTATTACTTCCTACTATTATTATTACATCTACCACTGCTACAACGTGCTAGTATGACTGCCACTCCGGGCCCTCACCAACCGTGAATACCATGACCACTTCCACTACCACTAGCAGTTCTACTGCGGCTGCCACTACCACTACCTCCAAAAACCAGCTACCGACGACCACCGCCGCCGCCACCATCACCGCCACCGCCACCGCCACCGCCACCGCCACCGCGACCACCACCACCACCAGGCCACGGCCACGGCCACGGCCACGGCCACGGCCTGAACACCATTTGTGTACTATTGCTGCTACTACACCCAACTGCCCCAATAGCTTATGCACTTGCCCGTTGCCCGCCCCCGAACAGATTTCGTGGTCGATCGAGATGCTGATAGCAGAAAACGTCTGTGCTGCGCAGTCCGGACCGCACCTCGAAGAAAGGAGATGCACGGTTCGAGGTAGTGTCGAACACTCCGTAGCTATAGATATGCAGGATTCCTTTAGCAACTTCTGTCGTCAGTGTAAGGACGAGAAAGCTTCGGGGTACCCGTTCCTGGGAGCCCGGGTGTCTACCGAAGAAGTGGGACCGTTGGCTGAGCTCCCTTGAGGTCCCTGTTAGGCTACAGCTTACCCTTGGCTGTTTCCATGGCGATCCCATCGCTGACATCCAGTGCACGATGAGATTGCAAAGCAAGACTACCTTGCCCCTTGCCCCCTATCTTCAAGAAGCCTCGCCGAGTCAGTTTTCCCATGTTGAGTGCCGAGGCTAGGCGTAGCATTCAGTCAGCTGCCGCCTTGTTGCCGGCCTTTCTCCGTTGTTTCCTAGCGCACTAGCTGCTACGCCTTTGGTCTTAGCTGTTGCTCCTGAGCCGGATGTAAAACGGAGCAGTTCGGAAGCAGCGGCGAGTTAACAGGACAACCATGTTCATTTGGTGCCTTCCGCTGTTGAAGACCCTCGCACCCACTGTTTTCCAGTACTCTTGCTATCGCTTTTTTGACTTGCAAGCCTTCTTTCACGTGTTACAGCTGTTTCTAAGTGAAGCTTAATTGCCGGGACATCGGGTCGAGCTGCAAACCACAAACCACACGACGTCCATCAAATCTTGCACCCCATCCGTTACATGCTCCTCACAAACTCCACATTGCTAAAGCACTGCTGCCCCAAGACCAGATCTGAAGGAGGCTTCCTCCAAATGAGAACGCTGACATCGTTCGTCCAAGAAGTCCAGAAACTATCTGCGCATTGACAAGACGTTACGCCAGCTGTCGGCAGGTCAAGGAGGAAGAAAGAGAATTGTTGCGTGGATTTCGGAAGATTGTGCGGCGTGAGCGAGGCGCAGAGTAGGGGCTGTTTAATCCTTGCAAGCCGGACACTTTGCAATCCCAAGCTGGGTGCAGGTTCAGAGGACACACAGCTACCGGCTGAAATTTTTGTGGTGCTGCCGGCAGAGTTTACCTCTGCATCGCAAAGATCTAAGAACAAAGTTCATGCCCCAGATAGGATCACGAACTACATGCAGGTGGAAAAGCGACAGAAATTAAGAGATGAAGCAGAAGAGCTGTGCAGGATCCTGTCGCAACTTCTTCCGCAATATGTGCGGTGGCTTTTTGGTCGGGATGCCCGTTCCTGCAAGAGTTTTTCAAGGTATCCGTGCCAGACCTTCAACAGCTTCTCCCGAACAATGGAAGCCTTGGCCGAGGCTTATATTGGTTTGTATGGAGCAAAGCCTGACGGATGAACTGTCGCAATGTTGCAGGCTTCGCAGGGGACCATCCAGCGTGTTGTTTCTCTGGTTTCACGCGGCTCTGCTCACAGCATGGTATCGACTCGCATCACCGACCTGTTTGGACAAGCTTGTGCGAAGCCATCACACGCGGAGTCCCGTCAATTCCCGTCACACAGGTGAGGTCTTGCGTGAAAGAGTGCATTTTTAATGTCAGCGTTTGTTTTCATGCTAAGGCTCTAAGCAATAATCCCCGCGAAAGGTGGCACATTCCCTGCATGATCCTACAGACGTTACTTTTAATAATCGTATCACACTTCTCACGACAACCTCCCATATATTGAAGGGGAACGGGGAATCAAGCTTTGCAACAAAGTACCCCAGAATTCTCAGGCTTTGGCATCAACTTCATGAATGATGTAAGCTAGCCTGTCGTCGCCCGCCGCAACGGAGACACGAGGGGTGGGGCTGGGGTGGGGTTGGGTGCAAAGCAGAAAAAACACCCAATTTGGGAGGGAGGGGGGGGGGGTGCTCCCGGCAAGCAGAGAATTTCATTGTGGAGCCTCTCTGGACGTCAAACAATTTTAGTGGGGGAGAGGGGGCGGGGGTGGGCTTCAATAAGGGGGGGGTGGGGTCACTGGTGAGGGGATTATAAGAGGTGCGGAAACAGGGAATCGTTGTGGGAACCTCTGACCGCTTCGGCCGAGGCCGAGGCAAATTAGTTGCAAAGCTCGGTCGTCGTCTGGGACACCAAAACCTTGGGGAGTCGATGTTCCAGAACCCATCAGCCTTGCCATCAAATTGGGATGTTGTAGATGTTGTAGCTTTTATGTCATGCAGTGTTCTTTTTGCCAGGTTCCTGAGTCTAAGTTCGGATGATGTTTACCGGAACGCATGATGCTCGATGCAGCGATGCAGTACAGCTCTGTCGTTGACATGTAGGATATAGCATGGCGATATCAAGACAGTGCCGACAACGAGGGATATGAGGCCTGAATAATTGCTTTCCAGGTGGGGCTGCCAGATGCTGAGAATGCTTCGGGTCAACTGCAGCTGCTTGCCTGGCTGCAGTGGTACCTCAGCAGGACTTGCTCGAAGGGCGCCCTGGCGACAAACTCCCGGACTGGCGATGCAGAGCCTGGGGCCCAGAGCAAGAACAAATTCGGGTTGTTTGCCTGTGTTTACCATACCCTGTCATGTCGAGGCATTGTGCACAACTGGTAGAGGTGCTGGAAATGTGATGATTGAAAGGCCTTGTCAAGCTTAGTGTGGCACTTCCGACTCGACAGTCACTATATCTCCAGGCCAACTCAGATCGTCTTCCTGGGCATGGCTTGGCTCTCGCGAGGCCAAATGGAAGCGACACGGCGCTCTAGGGACACGCCTCGGCTCGTCCTCCGAAGCTCAGGCCTTCCAGAAGAATGGCAGCAACAAGGCGTGTACGTCGTTTTGATCACCGAGGCACCTGCGGAAAAGCTTCCAGCATCATGTTCCAATGATTTCAACGGGAGCACGGACTTCAGTCTCCGTGTCATATCAAGAAACGGGTCGGAACACAGCATCACCACAGCCAGTTGTATTCAAAGTGGCGAGGCGGACGAATTTGAGGAGGTCGGTTTCGTCCCCAGTAGGCTGCTGTTGGCACTCAAGCAAGGAATGCCAGAAGCAAGGCAAGATAAGGCAAGTCTATGTTGTGCTTTGACGTTGGCTTCCCGAGGCCGCCAGCTACTAGCATCAGGCGAAGGAGAGATCCGCGAGAAGCTTCGAGCCAAAGGCAACTTATTAGTTTCCATGTCCCAGGGACCGGCATCAGTTGCAGATGCTTGGCAAATGCCGGGCAGATGCAGGCATATGCGACTATCTAATCCATCCTCTTTCGCTCGACAGCTTGTCCAAAGCCAGGGTCTCGATGGTGGTGTTCAGCTGGACTGCCTACCGCTCGCTCCTCCTGCTGCTACTGCTGCCGCTCCTTCTGTTGCTGCTCCTGCGCAAGCTATTGGGATTTCCCTCCCAAGACACAGCAGATTCCGGTACCCAACTCTTCAACAGAAGGTCTGGAGTTTCATCTTTGAGGTCAGAAGCAGAAACGGCTTGCCTTCTGTGAACATGCCATCAATTCAGATCAGGTCGTGTCGGAAGCCGTGCAGCGCAGATTGGAAGAATATTTGCTGCTGGACTGACGCAAGTGGCCTTGAGTGGAATCGATGCTTTCTCAGTCACAGAGCAGCGTTGCATGTTCAAGTTGATTGGTCGTGCGCTTCTCTTTCGAGAACCCCATGTGTGGTCTCTGTTTTCAGGGTCTACTCACTATTCGAGTTTACAGCACGGTTGGTGATGGTTGGTGAGGGAGATGGGTTGCATGGTGGCGGCGGCGGTGACGACGCTGCCGGTGCTGGTGCTGTGGCAGTGGTGGGGTCGTTGGTCGGGTCAGCTGCATGTTCGGATTGTCGGTGGTTTGGCCATACACGGATGGCCTCAGTTGTAGATTTTTTCCTTGGATCCTACTGTACTTCTGTTGCTCTGAGCATCTCTGATCATCGCGATTGCCCGACTCATGTGGGCTCAAGTCCCCTACGACAAAAAAGGAGTCACCAGGGTTGACTTGCAGTAACGGAGTATAGCTGCTGGTAGCTGTGATACTTGAAACTTCAGGTTATCAGCAGTCGGTAGCTCTGTCTGATGAAGTTGGTCCCCAACACGGGCTGAACACGGGTAATGCTGGAAACGAGAATCAGGGCGCCAACGCACAGAACTGTTTCACGCAGTTGGCCCAAGAGAACCAACAGATTAATGTGTTCATTGACGATTGGACCTTGGAGCACGCAGCCGAAGAAGAAGCTGAAGCCCGGCATCGGATGATGGTGGACGTTATCTACACGGAAGCCAGTATGCACATCAGGTCCGTGGAGGCGCATGCAGACGCCGAACACACCAGGCGATTAGCATTCGTCCTGCAGGGCACACATGTTTTGGTGCCCGAACTCAACACAGAGATGACGGCATACAGGGCGGAAGCTGAGCAGTTTCAGTCCAGGCTACTTCGCAGCGAGACAGATTGCCATGAGGAAAGGCAAGCAGCACTTAGGCTCACTTTACAAAACATGTCGCACAGCTTCGCGAATCGTTCGGCGACGACCGATCGTCGCTTCTCGAGTGCCTAGCACAAATGCCCCATTGGGAAGAGTGCTTTCAGAGTTTGAAGGCTGAAGAGTTGCAGCAACACGATGGGTAACGGATTTGATGGACCACAACGCAGAATTGCAGGACTCAGTAAGGACCGAATTTGCCGAGAAATCGGAGCGGCGTTGGAAAGTGCGTCGCAAAATCCTAGCCCGCCGCAAAGTGGTGCCCAATCCTTGCCAGAATTCGTAATCCCAGGGTCTAAATAGTGGGGGGGGGGGGGGGGGGCC